TGGCTCTATTAGTTCTTCATGTATTTTACAAACACTGGGCATTTTTGCTCTTTGTGCTTTTAAGAGATTATTAGAATCCAGTATCATTCATGGACTAGTTGGTGAAGACAAAGCATAAAAAAATTAATTATTCACTTTTACAATCCATTTTCTGGAGAATGGGCCGTTGGGCCAAACGTGTAAAAACAGAATGCAGTGATTTGAATWTCTCATTTTAATGATTCAATAAACAGCATGATGGCTCAGTGGTTAGCACTGCCTCATAGCAAGAAGGTCCTGGGTTTGATCTCCAGTTTGGATCCACACTCTAAAAATGAAATGTTGGATTTACTTAACCATGTTATGTTACCTGGTTCCACTTAACTGAGTTGAGTAAATTCAAAGCAACATACTCATGTTCTTTGGTTAAGAAACTGGTATGTTGCTTTGAGTTTACTCAACTCAGTTAAGTGGTACCAGGTCACATAACATGGTTAACTAAATCCAACATTTCATTTTTTACAGTGCAGGGTTTGTGTTTGCATGTTCTCCTTGTGTTTATGTGGGTTTTCTTTAGGTACTCTTCCTCCCACAGATCAAAAAACCTGCACAGCATATTGCCTACACTAAGACCACAATTGCAAAAGCGATCTGTGAGCTCAATGGAGTTTGCCTGGTTAAATAAAGGTCAATAAAATAAAATAAAATAAAACAGGTAAAACTTTAAAGCTAATTGTATGGTTAAAAAATAAGGTATTTTTTTATTTTAAGGCAAAAAACAGCAAAAAATGTTGGGACAGGGGCAACAAAAGGCTGTAAAAGTGATTGGTATAACTGAAACAGCTGGAGGATCATTTTGCAACTATAGACAGAGGAATGGATTAAAAAAACATTTTAGAGCGGCTGCAGTCTCAGAAGTAAAGATGGGCCGAGAATTATGGGTCAATAAATATACATTGAAACAGTRAAATAATTTCAGAATAATGTTTCTAAACAGAAAACTGACAAAGACCTTGAATATCACTGCATTAAAAACAGCTCTGAATCTGTTATGGACCTCACTGCATGGGCTCAGGAACACGTCTACAAACCATTTTCAGTAAACACAGGTCACTGGGTCAGTCCCAAATGCAGATCAAAGCTCTATCATGCAAAGAAGCCTTATGTGCCCAGAAAACTGTCATATTTTCTGGAACCAAGTTCATTTAAAATGAACTGAGGAAAAGTGAAAAACTGTTCTGTCACATTCTTTGAATTAAAGAGGAGAGGGACCAACTACTCAGTTATCAGCTCATTGTTCAGAATCCTGCCTCTCTGATGGTATGGAGATTCATATAGTGCCTAAAGCACAGGCTGCCTTTGTATCTAGAAAAACTAAATAAAAGTTTAGCCAGTTTTGGAAATATACTCCCATCTGGCAAAAAATTCCAGCAAGCAGATACAGACCAGTTGAGCAGCTATCCTATACATCAGACAAAAACAAAACAATATTTTATTCCAAAAATGTCAGCAGCTGCTTTCCTCAGTTTCTAGACATTTACAGTTAAAAAGGGGAAGATCCACAGTGGGAAACATAACTCTGTCCTAATGCATTTCAGACGTTTTGCTGCCACCAAATTCTAAATTACCTTATTTAAAGAAAAACGTTAAAAAATTAAAAAATGTAATGTGTTTAATGTATATAAATCATGCCTTCCTGAAAATTTAAAAAACATAGCACTCTTTATTACACAATAACCCAACTTTTTCTGAAATGAGCTTGTCCATTTAAACAACCAAGTTCAGGGAAATCAGTCAATATACTGAGGACGTTTCATTTCTTGGAGTAAAAAAGACATTTTTATATTTTGAAGGATATTAAAACTTTGACAGTGAAATAGCTTGGAAAATGTGAAGTGAATTCTTTAAGGTTTTTTTCCCTTGAATTGCTCAACAGTCCCTTGAACATTTTGGAATTAAAGAATGTTAAAGATATAGGAAAGCNACACACACACACACACACACACACACACACACACGTTTTCTCTCCACTAGATGGCGCTATAATACACTGTATGAACATTTAAGGCACCACAGGAAGAGCTCAGGGTTTCAGGTGGAGGGAGCCACGGATCCACAAGGGGCCGTGCTCCACTGGAGGACAAACCCCGCTGCTGGCTGCAGGGATCCGGCTGGCTGCGGTGACGTCATCAGAACTGCGGGATGTGGCGTCATGCACGAGGCCCTCCTAAAATCATGGCAGGACAACACCTCACAGTGTTGTACTTTAAACGTCCTCATTCTTACTGTCAGGTTGGCGAGAAGCAGAAGTGGGCCGGTCTTAACATGGGGTGCTCTGAGAAAACCTGGGAAAGATCTCATGAGACCTTCTCCATTTGTGGGCTGACTCTTCAGTTCCTTTTCTCTCAGCTTATCACAGAACAAAACAAACAAAACAAAAAAGATGACAAAGAAAACTGAGATTTAGTGTCAGAAGCCAGTCCAGCAAGATGAGCTTCAGGCTGCTGCTAATTCAATTACTCTCAGTGGCGGATCTAGAGGGGTTTTTTGTTGGGGCAAAATGTGCCCCACATGTGGGTTTTA